CAGCAGAGGGAGCCACAACGCCAGACCTTGGCATCCTGGTCCGAGGTTGCCACCCGGGTCAGTCAGCACAGTCTTGACAGTGAAGAGGAACAGCCACAAGTGACACAAAGTCAATGACCCTCTCCACTCTGCTAAAGTGAATGTCACACTTTGATACTTCATACTCACTTTGTCTCTGCTATTGCACCCACTTTCCACCAAGGCTCAAGCTCTAGCACTCTAATTACTGCAAGCAACATTTTTCCTCACTTACTCTCATTCCTGCCCGGCCTCCCATGCCACTAATCCTGCACAGTGAACAAACCGCCTATGCATTCTCTTGGAAAACTTCACCAATTTCCCCCATACCTGCACCAGCACTAACAGCATTGCCACCCATTTTCAGCACACTCCATCCCTCCCTTTCTCTCGACACAGGCCTCAAAAAGCTCGAATGAGTAGTGAGCTCCACAACATTAGATCCTGAGCCCTCATGGAGAGTGAGACTTACCTTTTGCAGAAGACTCAGATCACTCATGCATTTTTATGACTAAAGTATATTTTTGAATTTATAAAAAAGAAATCCATGTCTTGCCAACTGAGTACAAACACTCTTCATTCCACTGCACTCTCAGAGTAACCTTGCAGTCAGTCTCATTCATTGTACACTACTTCTAACCAGTGGCAGCAACATGTTCTCTGTCTTTTGTCTTGCAGATACCAGCACAATGTTCACCACCTCCATGGAGAAAAGGCTGGCTCAGCTGGAAGCTACTTTCTCAATTGAAGATACTGACACCTCAGTGAGAATGTCAGCCATAGAAAGTCTGGAACACCTGCTGGTGAGCACCTCACTCCAACAGCTGGCTGAAGCAGCCCAGGCCCTTGGCATTCAGAGGACTGTAGGAGACCAGGTACCTGCTCAGCCCCAGGTAGAAGGGGAAATTTTGGTGTTGATTATCAGGAACATTATCTACATGTGCAAGCAGCAATAGGAACAGCAGCAAAGTATGTAGGTCACAATGGCCCTCAATGCCCAAAAACATCAGGAGTGCAGCTATGCAGGAGATTGTCTGGCTGCCTCTATGGACAGGTTAGCAGCTGAAATGGAAAGCCAGGTCCAGCACCCTGAGTCTACTAGAGAGGTGTACTCACTTGCATTCCAGCCACTAGCCCTCAGAACTGAAGGCATGGCGACAGGGGGATGGAGAACCTGCCGCACAATCCAGGTGCCCCATCCTTGAAAGGGAACAGGGCAGTGCCAGGAGGCACCCAGCTGGAACAGGAACCACACACACACACAGGCACCTCAGAAATCTCCTCCCAAAGCACTCCAGAAGTAGTTAGACTCTCCACCTCCAGCCAACCTGCACACCTTTTGACCCTTGGAAGTTGAAGCCAGGGAGGGTCAACTTGCCCCTGGCAAGAAAACTCTTAGCTTGTCTGGGCCATCCAGACACAAACTCCCCAGGGTCACATGACCAAATCATCAGGACCACTGAGCTCCACTGCTAAGCAGGATCCTTTCAGCCCTCCTGCAGAACCAGGGATTACACTGAGACATAGTGGCAGGGAGAGATAGAAGAAACTTATTCAGGGCTCTTTGCTGGCACAGGTGACACTGCACGTGTGTGTAAAGTCTCACATTTGTATAATTTTCATTGTTTAGACACTACATCATTCTGAGTAGCTGTTTAGCCCTGAATACAACTATGCCAGCACAAGGACTAACTTCATATCTACACAGGATGTACAACGGAGCAATATGTGTATTGACAGCCTGCTGTAGTATTCAGAAGCAAGATGAACAAAGTGTGTAAAGGGTAATGGGTTTTGCTGATTCCATTGCCCATTGTCCTAAAACATCCCTATTCTTTCCCCAGCCTCTGTGTCCAAAAAATGTTTTTGTGAATGGTTGGTAGGTGACATCCAGGCAGGAAAGTGTGCAGCATACACAGGGAGCCAATGCATTAGGGTCCTCCCTGACCCCACCCAGTCTCAATGCAGTTGCAGTCATTTTCTTTCCCATTGTGGACTTCCAATTCTCCCCACAATGGAAAGAGGTGGCAGGGTTGGTGGTGTTCAGGCTCCCAGCCTGTCTGCTTTCTCTTGAAAGACCAACTGCATCCTTTTTTTTGTTATTTTTCTTCATTTAACTTTTGAATCAAATTAATCTTTTCTTCTTTCTCTGGCTGCAGTGATGGAGAGAGGTTGTAGTCAGCCGCTGAGTGGCAGTCATGTCCTTTTCTAATGGCCATGGCAGTTGTGGCGTGAGCAGCTGTTCCAGCATGGATGAATTGGGATCCAATCTTCTGATGTTTTGGTGAGGTCTGCAATGGCGGTGGCGGGAATGATCACCCAGTCCTTGAGAATTGATTTGGACAGTCAATCACTTCTCAGAAGTTGAGACAGGCCCAGTTCTCAACAGTTGGGACAATGAGGTTGTTGACTTGCTCTCGTTCAGATGTTTCATCACCATGCTAGGTAACATCATCAGTGAGGCCTCCGATGAAGCTACGTTGTTCTACTCCGCTTGGAATTTATACTGTCCAGTCAGTTATGGTGAGTTGTGTCATTTCCGCTTCTGTTCTGTATGGGTTTGTATATGGGGTCCAGTTCTATATGTTTGTTGATTGCATTATGGGTTGAGAACCATGCCTCTAGGAATTCTCAGGCAAGTCTATGTTTGGCTTGGGCCACTATGGTTACGTTATCCCAGTTAAACTGAAGGCTGTCATTGTTCGAGTGTACTGATATTAAGGAAAGTTCATTGTGTCATTTTGCTGCTAGCTTACGTTAGTGTATTCTGACGGCTAGTTTCCTTGTCTGTCCGACATAATGTTTGTGGCAAACGTTGCATGGTATTATGTAAACTATGTTCGTTCTGCATGTTGTGGGTATACCCATGTTGGGGGTTAATGCAATTTACAAAATATCATGTGACAACTGCCACAAACGTTACGTCGGACAGACAGGAAGGAAACTAGCCATCAGAATACACGAACAATTTGTCAGACATGCCCCCCCCCACCTTGATGAAGCCATGCTGACTTTGCCCTATTTTACCATGCAGTTCCAAGTATTCAGAAATCTCATCCTTCACAATGGACTCCAAAATCTTACCCACAACTGAGGTTAGGCTAAGTGGCTTGTAATTTTCCGTCTTTTGCCTTATTCCCTCTTTAAACAGGGGCGTCATGTTAGCGATTTTCCAGTCCTTTGGGACCCTCCCTGACTCTAATGATTCCTGAAAGATCACCACTAATGCCTCCACTATCTCTTCAGCTATCTCCTTAAGAACTCTGGGGTGTAGTCCCTCTGATTAAAGTGATTTATCCACCTTTAGGCCATTCAGTTTCTCTAGCACCTGTTTTAATTTCATTCCGAGCTTCTGATAATCCCTGAACAGGTCCTCTTTCCTAATCTTCCTATATTGTTTGTTCTGACGTGGACCACAACAACTGGATCCTCCCCCTCCCTCTCCAATCTCCTTTCAAGCTGGTCTGAGATAGCTCTTACCCTGGCACTGGGCGGGCAACACACCATGCGGGACTCTCGATCCTGCTTACAAAGGATACTATCTATTCCCCTGATCATAGAATCCCATACAACTACCACTTGTCGTTTTGCTCCCTCCTCCTGAATGGCCTCCCATGCCATGGTGCAGTGGTCGGTTGGCTCATCCTCTCCGCAGTCTTTTCCTCATCCACACAGGGAGCAGGTACCTTGTACCTGTTGGACAAGGTCAAGAGCTGAGGTTCCTCCAATCCTGACTGCAGGATCCCTCGACCTGCCTCGCTTGCAGTCGCCCCTGCTGTCCCTGGCCACTCACCGCATTCGAATACGCCGCCTATCAGGTGAGGCTGCCTCCTGCAACACGACATCCATGCACCCACCACCACCACCAAGGATGTGCCGCAGTGTTTGAAGCTCAGATTTCAGCTCAACAACTCTGAGCTAAAGTTCCTTCAGCAACCAACACTTGCTGCAGGTGTGATCCCATTCACAATGGGATCAGCCAGCTCCCACATCATACAGCTATAACACATCACCTGTCCAGCCATTTCTACTTAGTTAATTATTTTATTAAGTTAAATAAATTTATTGATACTTCTTTGCTGTGTTCTTTTTCAAATCTAGATCAGATTTCCTACCAGCCACAGGTCACGTCACTCAGGCCCCACCCAAATTTGCGATTATAAAAAGAATATGTGGAGCAGCGATACTGTAATATTTATTGGGTAACGGTCTACTGTTCAGCGAGTCTGAAGCAAAGGTTCATTTCCATTTACACCACAAACTGAACAATACTATCAAGTAGTTGCACTTCTCATGGATACTAAGCCATAGTGCAATTCTGGAATTAGGAGCTGACTTAAGTTCACAATGAAGCTTCCCATGGAGAAATGGCCTCAGTACGTGAATCCTGAGACAAGTCAATCCCTGATTCTTAACATTACAGAGATTTTAAAAATATCAAGTCTCAGTGCTGTTTCCCACTTGGAAAATCTAACCTTAGAATTTATTAATGTTGGTCAAAGGAATCTTCTTCAGTGAAGCTATGCTTGCAATAAAAATTTAGCCTAAGACACCCTTACAATAAGTTAACAATCATATCACAGAACATGCATTAGGAGGACTCATTTCACACATCCTGCACCTGGAGCATTCTCATTTTTTTTAAATAAATATGTGTTCCATATGTTAATATTGTTTCTAAGGTTCAACCTTAAGATATTAAAAGAAGAGTAAATTCACTTCTGTGTCAACAAGCTGTAGCCTTAAATATTAAACTTTGTAATTGTTGTAGAAGGTTCTTTCAAAGTATCAAACTTCAGTTATTGAATGAAAATCGCTTGGCAAGTGTTTAATTTTTCCTCGACATTTTACTCACTCTCGTCAGAACTTTGTATCTTCTTTTGCATTTTCGAAAATCCAACTCCAACTCCAATTAAAACAACCAGTACTCCACTTATGAATCCAGACGCACAAATCGCTCTTTGTCTGTTTAAAGCTGCATTATCATCACTTCCAGTAACCATTGGTTTATCTAGGATATTTAAAAGTAGTATAAAATTATGGTTAAATCACTCTATTAACAGCTGAGGTACAACAATTAATCATTCTTCCCATGGAATGAGCTATCTTAGACAGCATGTTCAGGTGTTAACTATCCTCTGATGTCACAACAGTGAAATCTTGAACTGAAAAGCCAATTCAGAATGTCAATCTTAGTAAAAAGAAAGCAATGATTAGGAACAGTCACTCAGTAGCTTGTAAAAGGATTGATTGACATTAAAAATGCCTGCAGCGTTCATTCAGGAGACTGGTACTTGTTCCAATACCATTACCCGCAACAATTTATTTGGAAGTAAACAAGATGTTGTTGTGGATTTGAAGTGCTATTTAAATGGATACTCATCACTTCTTGTCCATTTGCTGCTGCAGTTGAGAAGAGCACTTCTGAAACACATTGTAAGACTTTCTTATACAGTAAAGTCTTCAGTAACTTTATATCAACATTATTCAAAAGAATTCTCCGAGGATTTCACCTAAAAAGTTAAGTACTCTGACACTCTCATAGGAGTCAACAGCAGTAAGGGAGTACCTGGTCAGGCAAGCTTGTTAGTGATTTCAACTTGTTTTGGGCAAGGAATGGGAGAAGGACATGATAATATGCCAGAGCAGCACTGCCTACTGCAGGAGAGGGGGACAGGGGGCAAGGAGGATCAACTGGTGTCTGTGTCCTTGGATACAGTGCTTTTCTCCTTCTCGGGACATCCTCCAACCTCAAGTGCTGTAAGCAAGATCTGCGCACACTCTTCTTCACATTTTGACCCATCTTATAACATACTAATGTGTATCTACCAGAGCACAGGCCTTCATTGTAACTGATTCAGAGGAGCCCACAAAATCTTCTCCATAGAAATCCCATGTACTCAGCACTTGAGTGCTAAATCTGAAGAAATCTTCTTTATTGCCTCCAGACAAATTGAATTATGGTAATCAGTAATTAGGATCAAAACTTGCGCTAAACTCAGACTCCAAATAGTTGTGCCATATTTCCCGAGCACCCATTTAGCTTCTGTTTTCAGTTTTTCCCTAAAGTAACAGTTAAATTTTTCGCACAACTTGATAGTTGAAGTGTTAGAATATAGGATCGTTAAAAAGTACCAGATACCAATTTAAGATCTGCAGGCCGCATCTAAATGTAATGATATTTCACTAAGATCTATATACTACAATTAATCGTATAGTGGCATTAGACTGTGATTTATTTTTATTCATTCATTCTCTGGTCATCTCTGCTTCATTGCGTTGGTCTGAAATGTGTTTTACCCTAAAAAGTCTAACAGTCGTTTGAGCATAATATTTCATAATTCTGGGTAATACCATTCAGCTTACACCACATAATAATTTTGAACACCTATGTATACTAGACTTTAAATTGTAATGGAGACCTTAATACCCTCTCTTTTCCAAAGAAATCTAATAAAATCCATAATATTTCCTCGAATGATTAGGAAATGCCTGACCACCAATGCCCACCACCAGCTCAGAAGCTTCACTGAACAGCTAACTGGAGCATAAATTGTCAGGGAGTTAGCAGGATGATTGTGGGGGTCTGATTTTCCCCTCAAACTCAATTACCAGAAAAAAGGGATAAAAGGGCAAGGAGATTGCAACATTGGCTCTGTGCCATGTTATTGTTTGGGATTCTTGGTTTTCCACTTAGATTATGGGGTTTCTTGTACCTAGGGACATGTTAATAACCAGCAATCCCATCTTAGTCTCTTCCACCAACATCAGAAGAGCACCTTCTTTGAAAAGAAATGGGCCTCAACTAACACCCTACCTCTGACTGGAGGTTAGGAGGCAACAACATCCTGGAAGGTGGAACAAAGCAAGTCTCTCTTCCTCCCTGATGGTAGCACAAGGATCAGAGTCAGAGGTCATCCAAACTGATGTGGACAGCAAGATGATCTTGAATTTGACAACTTTCCACCACGCCCATCAGAGTTGGGCTTTTAGGTTCATTAGCTTTTAAATGTAAGGCTTGTGCTGCTGTTGATTAAGTCTTGTTAATGACCTGACTAAAATATCAGACAGTTTCAGGTGAAGTTGGGCAGAACACTTCAAACCTAAACATAAAGTTAAAGGCACCAAAAGGTATTCTCAGATTAAAGAAAACTAGGGACCCGAGACAAATAATTCAAGTGATCAGGATAATTGATAGTTAAATGTTTTACTCAGAGTGATGTGAAATTCATCTCCTGCATGGCACACATGTAACTGAATACACGATCCAATTGTACCAGTCTAACAAGCTCCACTCTCATGAATCTCCCTGAAGCATGACCACTTTAAATATATCAAAGATTTGCAACAATTTCGAGATGGGGATTCTCTGCCCAAGCACAATCCCCTCAAATTATGAATGATCTTTTATTTACTGCTGGGAGATATCTACGTGCTTACCATACAATTTTAGTTCCACCAAGTTCTCAATGTAGCCTTTTCCATCCTCTTGAATCACGAAGCAGGTGTAGTTCCCCATATCTGATGTGGTTGCTCCTTTTAATCTGAGAGAAGCATTCCCATTGCGAAATTCTTGGAGAAACAGTTTAGTCCGTCCCCTGAATGCTGGGTCCTGATACTCTGGATGGTTTATCTCATTGTAGAAGCTATGAACCACTATTATACTGGTTGTCCGCTGCCAGGTAATGACAAGCTGCTGCAGACTGAAGTTGGTTGCAGCAGTAAAAATGCAGGGCAGTAAGATGTCTTCACCTGAGACTCCATAGACCTGGATGAAGGATCCCTCACCTAATGAAAATATACGACATACAATGTGCAAAAAAGGATGAAACAAGAAATGGTCATTTTCCCCATTCAGAACATCCATTCCATGTGATGTACATTAGCTCCTTTTGGGAATTTCAGCACAATGTACAAGATAAAGTTGTAAAAGCTCTCCCCTTCCTACGCAAGTCAAATCCAATATGCCTTTACAACCCTGCCTAACTATAAAATCATGATTACTCAACAGTAATACATGTACCAAAAATATTTGCATTGTGAAGTATTTCAGGATTTGAATGCAGATTGCCACTTCAGTGTGTCACACCTGGAAATTAAAGTACATCAACAAGTGTTCAAAGATAGGGTGTAGTCCTCACCATGTGGCAGTTCTTACCAGGCAGCTGTTTTTTGCTGATAGAAGATAGAGGAAGACCACGCTAAGAGTTCTCTAACACTTCACCTGGAGAGAGCAGAATGCTTCCATCACACCCTACTGAGATCAATATGTTCTGTGCCAAATGTCCGTTTGTTCTCTGGTACCAGTGAACTGCCTTCCACTGTCACAGGTTGTAAGCTTTTCCTGCCTATTTTGCTAATGTACCATATCTAAACCATTTTCTTTATAAATTAATAAGCCACCTTAAGATTATATGGGATAGTCAACAACCTATTTTAAATTTGTTTGACCGTTGAATCCCAAATGTTACATATATGGCTTGTGTTTTCTTACTATGCACAAAAGGCTAATGCATTTGCCCACACAAGCACAGTGATTGTCCTTTAAAACTCTTAATGTCTTTGACATTTGGGATTCCTGAAAAGAAGCGATGTATTGCTATTTAATGCAAGTTTTTTTTTTCCAGACTTGTGTTTAACTTTTTAACATATAGCTCCATTGTTCATGTGCCATTAATACTGCTTTCCTTTCAAATGAAAGAATTTCAAATTGCACTAACTGTTTTTTTACATGTCTATTCCACAGCTTAATCTAAAACTAATTCCCATTTACCTTAATCTCTCTACAGGCTTACAGTTTTCATACCTGTCTTCCCTCTCTACAGGTTTACTAATTTCATATCTGTCTTCCCTAGATTCCCATTCACAGTACATGTTAGTGTGGTGTAAACTCTGATTTATATGTAATACCATTTATTGTATGTTTGGGCTCTTGGCTTTGAGTAACCAATCTGTGGGTTTTCTGTGTGTCTGAAATTAATAAGCAACTTAAGTATTTGTTTTTTTCAGTAAAGCAGTTTTTGAAGCCTGGCTTCTTTGTACACCATTAACGAATTTTTGATTATCTTGGTTTGTTTTGGACTCAGCAACATAAATAATGAAGCCTCAAGATTTGTTAGAGACTTTTGGAACTTGTTTTTTTAAGCTGAAGGGAAATACCATAGCTTTGACAGGCAGATATCTGGTTTTAGTTTTCTTTTGCATGAGGAAGTCCTGTAAAGTCCTTGAGTGGCTATACAGCCTAGAAGGGAAGGGAAGGGAAGGACATAGGGAACTTGATATCCTTACAGTATGAAGAGCTAGTGTTAATTAACCGACCAGAAATGTTGGGATAAAACTGTGAAGCAGTTACATTCAAGCTATGGCGGATAATAGTGCCAGACAGAAGCTCTCTGTAGTTCTAGTCAGTAAATTGAAGTCACAGCAACTTAAACCTGCCTTGGTAGGGGATACAGGAGCTCTGATGTGTGTATAGTTAAAAAAAATGCTGTTTTATTTTCTTTTTAACTTATAAAAAAAGTGTGTCTTGGGATTATACTCTTACTGTGTGTTTAAAAATCTTTGAATCTGTGTTACAGATAGATGATTTGGTTTATTCATATTTATCTTTGTTTCTTTTGTTAGTAAACTTTTTGTTTTATTGTTAAAACAAGATATACAGCATTGCATGCTTATGTTTCAGCAAGACATCACTTTGTTAAAACCAAAACATGATCCAGACAGAATTAACCAGACAGTCAATTACATACTAACAGAAAGGTCCTGAAAAAAGACAAGGCACTTACCCAAGAAAAGCTGCTCAAAGAATAGAAATGACCAAAATGTGATGTACAGTGGACTTTCCATTGCCTGAAAAATAAAAATCCATTGGAACAAAATGAGTGATTAAATTATTTTTCCAAACAGCTATTTAAGATTTGTGGCAAGTGTGTATCCAGAGTGACTGATGATTAAAACAAGTGATAGTTGCTTCACATTGGCAAATTTCACTGGCACCTTAAGTTAAAGGGTTCATTGTTTATTAGCTGCATCCAAACTGATCCTCCTTTACTTTCTGCATTAAGATGATTTTTCTCTATTGTCTTCATCCTATCCTTTAACATCTAGACTAGCCCTCATCCTTTTTATCTCTCCAAGTGCCCTGGAATATTTAGTTCCCAATCTTGATCACTTCGCAATCACATCTTTGGAATGGTTAATGGATTAAATCAATTCATTTCTTGGTTATTAACTTGTCCAATTTCTTGTAAATCCTTCACACATTCGGATCGCCTTTAGCTTTGATTTTTTTTCTATTTTTTTCCTGACAAAACCTTAGACACCAATACTGTTTTAGTTTCATTACTCTTCGTCACTTCCTGAACCACACTCCTCATTTTTACTTAAAACAAAGTGTAACTCTAGAGTCATTTAGAGAATGCTAGAGAACATTTTAGTTGCTGCTTTGAATTTGTCCTTTCCTGAATCCTCCTACTTGGCCTTCATTATTTTAAATCTACATGCTACAAACCTACTTCTTAGATTCGCCAGGATTCCAGTCCCATCCTGGTTCAAGTGGTGCCCATTACAGAGGAACAGCTCCCTCTTTCTTGGTGCCAATACTCCATGAAGCAAAACCCTTGCTACCACACCACTCTTTCAGCAATGCATCTAAAATTATGATCTGTTTATTCCGGTGCTAAGTGTCACGTAGTTCTGATGGCAAACCAGAGATTACCTTTTAAAGGTTTTGCTTTTTAAATTGAAACCTATCTTCTCAAACTCTCTCAGCCTAATATTATTCTTCCTGTGTCATCGTTTCCTTCATAAACCAAGACAATTGGATCATGGTCTTCAAGTTCCTCTTTAGCCGTGACATGATGTCTTTAATCTCCCCAACAGAACCCTTGGAACTCTAGATCATAGCTGCAGAGAAGAGTGTCTATTTCCCAAGTTAGAGTGTCCCTAATCAAACTTCTTTTTATTCCTCCCGTCCCCACTTGAATATGCTTCTGTACCATCATGCTACGGTCTGTTTCCATCCACATGAAATTGTTGTTCTTATTCGCACAGCAAGTAATTTGCACCTGCTCGTCAAAGTGAAAGGCTACACCCCCTCCATCAATGCATCCCATACCAGTCTGACTTGCAATCACACCCTCCTGCCCCTGAACACTAACCAATTCTAAAGGTTCACTTAATCTAAGGAAAATGGCTCTCTCTAGGAACAAATTGTCCAGGTAAATCCCTCACTCACTGATGTTCCGCAACATTTGCAGGTCAGACTTCACCTCAAGAATTCTGAGTCGAAGGCCCATGAACCAAACACATGGTGCAGATACGACCATCTAAGATCGCAGTGAGCTCTGCAACTCCAACTTGCTACAGTACAGCATGCCTCTTAATCTGTCACATCTGTCTGGCTGCATCCAAGTTTAGAATCAAAGAAAACTATTCTTTTTAGATCTCTCATCTGACTCAGTTTGTGCTGTCTTCAATTATAGAAAAACTCACTAACTAGTCATCAATCATCACAACAGGATTTACTCCTGGAATCTGCAATTAAAGACCACCTTTCTTAAAATGAAAAATGTCTTATTGTTTCATCATCTGTTTCATTGACCCTTGAAGCACCTTGGAGGGTCCTTCGTGACAGTTTTGAACAGACACACAATAATGGTCCATGGCTTCCTGAGCTGGCACTTGTTGGCAAATTGACAGCGCTTAAAAAGTTCCAAGTGCCTGAAAGGTTCAACAAGCAGAAGATTCGTTTTAATGTCTCTCAAATGTCAAGTGTTCTCTGTTTTGAAACTCTAATTGTCTAGGAAAGTAGTGAAGTGGGATTACTAAAATTGTTACAGCAAAAAGAACTGGCACAGAAGCAATACTTACTGAGCAACTTTAAGGATTTGTTTTTTAAAACAGGAGAGGGAACTGGAGAGTTTCCCCACTAACGGAACCTCCCTCGCCCCGGGTCCTAATTCGCTTTAGTTCTGTCATTTATTCCACAGTCGTAAACTATTATGGTCATTTGGTCTGGCACCACCTCGAGGCAGTTGTTTTCTGTTTTTGTTCCTGATCGACAGCAGCCGCAGTTCTTTCGGTCTTTACTATGATCATTTGCAATAATGAAACCAACCGCTGACGCACCCAAAAAAAACACGAACTGACGATAAATTGTCAAGTCTGGTTCTGTAACTGAACCCCAAAATTAGAAAATAAAACACCTGTCTCAAACTTTACGCAACATTAATGACCCGATCCATTTCTGCAGCTTTTGTTCGACCAAAGCAAGAACTACGAAAATGAAAATGAAACTGACTGAACTCCGGAATAAACATTCACTGTTTGTCATCGACTGAAAAAGTACATCGACTGAGAGTGTAAAGAGTCGCTAACAACACTTTTTTCCCCCATGTTACGAAAATCTCTTCCCGTCACGAATTCAGACAGTTTCAGCCTGAATATATTCTACATTTCTCAGAAATCGCATTTCCCTCATACCATTTTTTTAAAAAGTATTGAGATATTAATTTGTGATGCCAATGCTTACACTTACTCAAGTGCTGGAACACAGGATTAGAAGAGATGAGTGGGTTTTTTCGACTAGAAAAGCCTTTTTCTCCGCTGTAGGCCTTTACCACTCAGTTCCAGGAATGGGGAGGGAAGGCGGGAAGCCGTTGACACGCATGCGCATTGCGAAGGGCCACACTCCTCCGCGCACGCGTAATACCGTGTCCGCGACAACAAGGTGCAGGGCTGGATGAACACAGCAGGCCAAGCAGCATCATAGGAGCAGAGAGGCTGACGTTTCGGGCCTAGACCCTTCATCAGA